ATATATATATATATGTATAAGCGCGCGCGAGCCCGAGTATTGAACGGTACCGAATGTCAACTGCAAATCGAAATTTATGTCTCGGCAAAGCGGCAGATAATTCACGGGTTGAGATCATTGGGTTCCATCGCAGCTCGTAATTTGTCGTTAAATCTTTACTGCGTACTGATTTCCGCGCGCGTCACAATATAAATCTCTTTCTCCTTTCCTCCACCTGTGTTTCTTTCTATCCTTTTTGCCATCTATCCGATATATTGCAGCTTTATTCGCAATATATAAACGTGCATTTTGAGATTTTCTCAGTTTATGAATAGTCTGGATTTAATTAGTCTCAAAGAGATATAAAAACTGAAAGTATAAACAGCACACGCATTAAAATGTATCTTATAAAATTGATTAATAATGAGTAGAATGTATTAGTGATTGATTTTGTGTTTCTTTCTTATTCTTAGTAAAAATAAAGAAATTAAGTTATTTTTTCCGAATTTTTTCTAAAGCTACAAATCATGTTGGTTTTAAAATATTATTTTATTATTTCTTATAAATACATAGAGTTGAATTGTGATATTATAATTACATATACATATATATGTACGTACATATATATACGTATATTGTATAATCCCCTAAAATGGAAGCTATGAAGATAGTATTACTTTGTCGGAAGCGAAACACGCGGTGAACATACGGTGAAAGGGGACAAAGAATAGTTTCCTTCCTCATTATCGCAATGAATATGGGTGCTCCCCGTTCGTTTTTGCACCTCGCTTTTTTGCGTTTGGAGGTTAATTAACGTCCGTAAGAATTTCTTTGACGGCGCAGAGGATAAGGGAACGTCATCGATGGATAAATAAAGCAAAGGGGCGGGGCCCTTTGAGGCGATAATTAAAGCTACGATGTAAGGGTGGGAGGGAATGATGGGAACGGGTGGAGTGCGAGGGGAGAAGGTGGCTTTGAAAGCCAAGGATGTTTTAGCTCGCGAAAGAGAAAAGAAAAAAGAGATAAAACGACTGCTTTGGAAAGATGCGTGTGCTTTTTTCGCACCAATTTACAGCTCGCGGAATCTCGTTTATGGAACTAGTTTCGTAAGCTTTCCCCCTTGCGCCTCATCGGCCTTGAAGAAGATTGTTAACAAGATATTAGACTTGTTGAAATTTTAATTATTATTATTTTTCACTTGTTAGAGCGAAAAGCATATTGTTTTCGCGCGATTTTTAACATAAGACAAACATGTCGTCAAACATGTCGTGTTGAGGATTCATTCGCGCGATCGCATTGAAATCGCGACTGCCGAGGAATGTTGTAACGGTCCCAATGTCCCGCGGGCAGAAACTCCCGGTTAAACCTGCAACACGAAGGCGTGGGCATTACACGGCATGTCGTATTATACGATGTTACGTACATGTTTTTCCATTTCTCGCGCATTTCTTTTTTCATTTTCTTAAAAAAACAGAAAAAAGAAACAAAAAACGAACATTATAGATCGATAGATTTCATAATCGCCGATTCATAGAAAAGAACAAGAAAGCCCCTTTCAAGATAGTCGATTAAGAGGCGTATTAGATACATGATTAAATTGGATAATTTGTACTTTTTTGATTAATGGATGTAACATTTTTCTCTCTACAATGTCGGAAAAGAAAATTTAGACTTTACGCGTTTGAAGATTGTACAATATTATTTAAGATTGATGGTGAAAGAAAATAATGCTAATCCTTTCCGCATAAAATTTTCGCACACGACGCGCCTAACTTATGTAAATATCGCATCGACAAGTCCGAGCTCGCGGAAAGGGGAAAACTCGGAATATTTAATCCCGGAGAAAGAGGTGGGGAGAGAGTGAGAGAGGGTGTACGAGCGGGTTGTCGACCGCACTAATAAACAATAAATATTCACGCCGGCGTGTATGATGTAACAATACTGTATTACGTAACGAAGAAAGTAAGTTCAATGCACCGTCGATGCACGTGATTGATAGCGCGTTATTCGGGCTGACAGAGAGTTTCGAACGAGCGATTTCGATGAACAATAATTAATGTCGAGAGAAATCGTGTTTGGCACATGAATACACGTTCATTCATTAATCTATTTGATTTTCTCTATATCGATGTATTTATAATTAACGGAATTACAATTACTAAATTAATATGTATATATATATATATGTACACATACTTATAAATTATATTAATTTAGTAATTGTAATATTTATTTATTGCGTTACTTATTTTATTTTTGTATCTCCCTTACTGTCACACTCACTCACTTGTACTCCATCGCCAACAACTATCGGGCATCGATACCTATTTCAATATTAGCGATCGAACGCGCGAGTGTGGAGTATCGAATACTTTAAAACGTTCCTAGTCACGTCTGTCGGTTGAATTCGCAAAAGTTTGTCGAGTACGTCGGTGATTAGAGAGATTAAAGGGAAACATTTTATCGTAAACGATTCGAGAGAATTTAATTCGCCTGAAAGCTTTCGGGGTGAGCGAGCGAGCGAGCGAGCGTTTGCAAGCTTGTGTCGGTGAAATTCGCGGACGAACGAACGAGCGAATATTCGCGAGGGGAGGGAGAGAGGGAACTTTCGATAGGCCATGTTGAATTTTGTGGCGCTTTCATCGTTTAATCGAATCTTCCGCTCGCGGTATTACGATCGCGATCGAATCGTTTGCGCATACGCGTCGATCGATATGATTTAACAAATCCGACGAGCCCCTTTTCCTCCTCCTCTGCTCCAGTCTCCGCGGGTACTCGTAACATTTCGTTCATCGAATCACGGATATCGTTTGATTACACATTTCGAATGGATTAATAATTTTGATAGCGCAATTTCACAATATCTCCATAGTCTCGAAACTCTCATTTGCTTTTTATTTTCGGAATTTGCAACCGATGAGAGCTGCGAGAAACGGCTTGATTATTTAATTAATTAAAAACTAATTTTCTTTCTCTCTCTCTCTCTCTCTCTCTCTCAATATCAATTTAATATAAAATATAAAAAAATGTTGGATAACAAATTACTCGGACATTGGATTATCGATAAAGTCTCTAAACAGCCCGGCGAACTTTGTGCGAGTTTGTAGTCGCGCGCAGATTAATTTATGAAAACGTCAATTTATTAATTAAGCGCGCTCAGACTCGACACGGTGAATCACGAGCGGTCGCTTTATTATTAAACGGCCTATTATGTTACATACGCTCGCAAACCGATTGATATTTCGTTTGCAATTGCCAGTTCGCTCTTTCGATATTTCGCAAGTGACACTCTCACAATCGCTCCCGCCGTTATCGACGTAATCGCAATTATTCGCGGCGTTTACCTTTAGTACCGGGCGTCTTTTGTAAATTGCACGCAAATTTGTCCGGGAATGTCATAAATTTATATGTCTGCGAGTACTATTGCGCTGTCGTACCTTTGACCCACGAGTGTTGAGATTTTTTTGGACACGTATGCTAATGTATTAATATACATAATAATTATTAAAACAAATATATATATATATATATATATATATATTTACTATAAGCTTATATTAATATTATACATAGTTATATTATGTATAATAATAATATAGTAATAATTATAATCATTATATGTATATATATATGTATATTATAATATTATACAATAACTACTACATATTTTTACATATATGTATATATACATATAATCACTTTTATATACACAAATTTATTACTATATCTTGTTTTCGATCGACAATCAGTGAACAGTTTGACGCACGGCTCGCAGATCCGCATCGAGAAACACATTATAAGAGCGGCAAAGTTATGCGGTTTTCTCGTATAGCCGTTCGCGCATACCGGGTGTCCTTGCGGAATGAAAGTACTTGGGAAACGTGACCTCTCTCGTTATTCGTGTATGAGTAATGCTTAGCTCGAGCTTAGCCTAAGCGGCGTTCCGAGATTCCAGCCGGCCTGGTGCGCCGATTGGTCATAATTGAGAGAGGAATGCGCTTTTCTATTAGCGATTATTATCATAAAAAGGTAGCAACCGATAAATAGTTGGGTGGATACTCGAAGCGGAATACCAGTACAGTTTCAAATTAATATAAAAATACATATATATTTATATATAATTTATAAAGACGCAATATTAATTTAAATGTACTATCGTTACTTATTAGTTATAAGTAGAAATATATATATATATATTTTATTTCTTAGCCGTTTTACTTATTTTATTAATATTAATGTGGAAAATATGTGATTGGCGACTTCAAGATTTGTTTTCCTTTGTATTCCAGATTCGGGCGATATATCAAACGAGTGTAGCGATCGAGTTCGGGAAAGCGGAGCGGTCACGTGAGATCCAATCTCGGGAGGACGGAAAAATATGAGCATCCTACAAAACTAGGAAAAAAACAGAATTTTTATCTGGGTGGTCATCATGGAGACTGAGGAGCTCACCAGACTCGTCGACGAGATCTACAAGGTGAGTGATCAATTCTTTCGATCAGATGAGTTAATTATCTCATCAAATGAGTTTAATTAACGATTTAATGAACAGAGGAAGATCGTTCGAATAAAGAAGAGAAAGAAAAAAAAGCTTCAAATTTGAAAGTAAAGTAACGATAAAAATTAAATTTCTCATAAATAATCAATTGAGAGAATAGACTGAATTAAACACATATGGACTTTTGCTCGAGTCGAGAGAAGGGAAATTCGTATTTCAAACTAAATTCACGAAAAAAATGAATCTTCTTGCATGAATAACGGGAAACGGGAATCGTTCAAAGACGGCATTTTTAAAAGCATTATTCGGCGGATTAGCTTTGTAATTAGGCCTTTGGCGTAATTATCACGGCGGTACTCGGAGCTACGACGACGCCTCGTTACGATCTCGCGGAGATCGCGTCGCGATAACGAGGTAACCGCCGGTTAACCCCGGTTATCGCGACGGTCCAGAGTTTATGGGGTTTCGTCGCTGACAAGCGAGCCCCATGGCGCGAGTATATCACGATGCGCGTAGTTATGTTTCAGCGGGGTTATTCAGCAGGTGTACGAGGGGAAAGGGGGATGTGTGGAATGCATCCTGCGTGGTGGATATTAATTGGCTTCCGATCTACACGGTAGGGGAGATTGTATCCTCCCCTTCCTCTTTCCTCCTTCCTTTAGCGCGTGCCGTCGGTTCCTATATCGAGGTGCGTAGAGGGTGCATTTGCGCCGCCATCGAATGTCCCCCTCTTCCCCCCTTATAATTGTACATCGTTTTCTCGTCTAATTTATATTAATTTGATAAACGTGATAAAATATATATACATATAGAGGTAGATGAGAGAGAGGTTCTGTATTCGAAAAATTCAGAGACTTTACTTGCATACCTGTGGGACCTCTATCCAGAATCGCCCGGAATCATAAAACTTTCCGCATCTCTCCAGGTCGCGAAAACTTTACGTCCTCAAAAAGAGACGAACTGTCTTTCACTCCGTTTTTATGGTACATGGACTTTATATGTGTACCCCCCCCCATGGACTTTATATGTGTTCCCCCCCCCCCCTTTCCCTTCCTCTCGTTTCATCCCTTGTCGTTGGGCCCTAGATAATTGTTAAAAAGGAGGCCACGTGTTAATGATTGGTCGGTCCACGTGGCTTAACGAGGCCGCGCTCGTTGTGCATGTTCATTAGAGCGTTCATTACGACCACTTGTCGCCACCCGGAACACCCCTGGAGTCCTTAACAGCCGAGAGGTTTAATTTTTAATATCTCCCTCTATCTCCAGTTCCCTCTACCAGATGGAGAAGCATCCACGGTGAATTAATCTTTCTTTTTTCGTTTCTGCCGTCGGAAGAAAAAAATTCATTAGCATGTCGCAATATGGCGCTTACAGGGTGCAATAAGTGGCGCGCGATCGCGATTTCCTCTTTTCTTTTCTTTTCTTTTTTTTCTTTTCTTTTTTTTCTTTTGTGTGTGTGTGTGTGTGTGTGTGTGTGTGTGTGTGTGTGTAAGAAAAAAATTAAATTTTTATGTGTTTTGCACAATATAAATGTACATAATAAAATAGTATAATATGGAATGCGCGATAACACATGACTTGTTATAGAATAAGGATTACAATATAAATTATTGTATATATAATTTTTATTACACGTATAAAAGCTATATTTTACCTATATATATTTTTTATATTTAAACATATAAATTATATATAAATTTTATTTTGTCATATGTGTGTGTGTATATATATATATAAAATTTTATCTTTTTCTCTCTCTGCTTTTATAATTTGTAATATATATATAACAAATTATAAAAGCAAAGAAAGAAAGAGAGAAAATTTTTAAATTTTTAGAAAAATTTATACGTCAAATGCTTCTCTTTTGTAATTAAGAAAATAATTATTTAGTTTTAAAGAATTTACGACGTTTTGGAGTATCGCGATTTATTAAGGAATAGCTGCGATTCAAAATATGCATTATACATTAATGTAATGGGAATGAATACGTAATTTAAATATTTCTTACATTAATCAAGGCGGGTTGCGACAAAGTTCATCGACCGTAACAACATTTTTTTACGAAAACGTTTTCCTCGAGTTTAATTTATTTTCGTGTCGCCGCTCATGTTTCCTAATTTATGGGCAAATGTTTAAACGATGATTCTTGCTTTACGATAAATATTTTAACAATGCACAATGTTGCAAAGTTGAGATAAACCAAACGAATAAAAAAAAGAAAAAATCATTGAAAATACGAATCGTAAATTCTGTAATCGCGCGAAATTGACATTGGGGGATGATCACGGTGATTTACCATGAAATGATTTGCGCTTTAATGTTTCGATTCCATCGCGAAAAAAAGTGTTCTCGAAATTTTACGATCGTTTCGGGAAAAAAGGAAAATCCGACACGCTGTCGATCCGAGCGAATTTGATATGGTCATTTTAGCGTCGTGAAATTTTTTTTATACGTTTATCGATAGCGCGAACCCGTGTGGCGGCGATAAAAACACCAAATAAATGAAACGTAAATATTTTGAAAGCTTCACTTACCTCACATACATTTATAATACATTGCTCCTTTATCTATTCAAGATTTATATACACAATTTTCTGTTTTGTAGATGAAAATGTGTCAACACATTCCAACATTTAATCCAGCATTTAAATTTGCATACAAATATTTAATGACTCGTTTTTTCTTTTAACCCGTTGCTCGGTCGATTTATCGAAAAACTCGCGCAAGAGAGAACGTCATCGGCGTAAAATATTCCGCTGGAAATCAAACAGGGAGGGGAGGAGCATAATCGGACTGCATAAACGGACTGTCGGCGCGGACTGTGAAATATCCGGAGTTATTACATGTCCGAATTGCAGGGTAAATATTTCGCTGGTCGCGCGGCGCGCTCTTCTGTTTTGCATCGGAATAAAATACCGGCGTCGACAGGCGAAATCAGGATGTAAATATCGCAATAAAAACCGTGACGCGGGCGCGCCTCGAAATGCGCACCCGTGACGAGTCGGGATTGATTCCGGAAAACATCGCGACGAGGATGGCCTTCTCTTAGCCTCCTCTCTAGCCCAAACATGATTTAACTAGAAATTCATAACTCGGACTAATAACAGTTAGAAACACGATACGTACATGCATATACATGGTTAGAGATTCCTATAAATGCCAATTTTGCATAAAATTGTAGACGAGAAAAATTTGACACTTTGTTTTTCCGTTATTTTCTAAGATATTACGTGATACAAGAGATAAAAGGCTCGCGATGCATATCTCCCGTCAAACTTGTACCCGAGAAAGGTTGAAATCCTCGAAGGTCAAGTTTGTCAGACGAATTAAAATTCGACACGACATTAATGGTATAAATTATTCGGCTTCGAGATTCTACAGAATCTCTAGAATTTCCCCTCTTACTCCCCTTCACCGAAGCTTCGATTCAAGGATACTCTGGTAGGAAAATATACTACGATTTTATGACGAATCAAGCCGGAGAGAGACGGAGAGAGACGGAGAGAGACGGAGAGAGACGGAGAGAGACGGAGAGAGACGGAGAGAGACGGAGAGAGACGGAGAGAGACGGAGAGAGACGGAGAGAGACGGAGAGAGACGGAGAGAGACGGAGAGAGACGGAGAGAGACGGAGAGAGACGGAGAGAGACGGAGAGAGACGGAGAGAGACGGAGAGAGACGGAGAGAGACAGAGACAGAGAGAGAGGGAGAAGAGAGTAGTTGCATGTCGCGTAGCCGGTATGCAACGGCACATGGAGTAGACGTACAGCTTGACGTATTACCGGGTAGTGTATTGTAACTGTGCCGTTACACCGGGACCGGGGCACCACCCATAATAATCATGTCATAATCCACAATCCACTCTCCATGCGCGTATAATTGTTATAACGATCTTTATCAACCTTTGACCCTGCCAGTTGAATATGGTAAAGAGAAAGAGAGAGAGAGAGAGAGAGCATTAATCTCCCGTTACGTATTAATTGTACAATCTCCGTTTCGCTCAATTTGAAGATTTGAAAATTTCACAATCAAAGTGTGTAAACTATGTTCGTTGCCTATAGATTGCACGATGTCTACGTTGCATGTCGGCTAAATTTTAGACTCGAACTACTTATGCGCTAAAATTAATTGTTACTCGGCGAATTTATGATTACACGATTGTTGAAAATTATAACACAAATGTAAAATTTATTTTATTCTGTTACAAAAACGACTATGGAGATAAAAAGAGAGAGGAAAAGAAAAAAAATGTTGCCTATAGATTGTGCGATGTCTACGGTGCATGTCGGTTAAATTTTAGACTCGTACTACTTACGCGCTAAAATTAATTGTTACTCGGCGAATTTATGATTACACGATTGTTGAAAATTATAACACAAATGTAAAATTTATTTTATTCTGTTACAAAAACGACTATGGAGATAAAAAGAGAGAGGAAAAGAAAAAAAATGTTGCCTATAGATTGTGCGATGTCTACGGTGCATGTCGGTTAAATTTTAGACTCGTACTACTTACGAGCTAAAATTATTTGTTACTCGGCAAATTTATTATCACACGATTGTTAAAAATCATAATACAAATATAAAATTTATTTTATTCTGTTACAAAAACGGCTGTAGAGATAAAAAGAGAGAGAAAAAAAATGTTGCTTATAGATTGTGCGATGTCTACGGTGCGTGTCGGCTAAAATTTAGGCTCGTACTACTTACGCGCTAAAATTAATTGTTACTCGGCAAATTTATTATTACACGATTGTTGAAAATCATAACATAAATATAAAATTTATTTTATTCTGTCACAGAAACGACTGTCGAGATAAAAAGAGAGAAAAAAAGAAAAAAAATGTTGCCCATAGATTGTGCGATGTCTACGGTGCGTGTCGGCTAAAATTTAGGCTCGTACTACTTACGCGCTAAAATTAATTGTTACTCGGCAAATTTATTATTACACGATTGTTGAAAATCATAACATAAATATAAAA